CTTACAAAATGACTGATAACTAAAAAACTAATCCAAATTTTTGAAAAAGAAAAAAAATACTTCTTCATTATGTCAAAACACAATTATGTGCCGAGTTTCGTGCCTGGGCGAGGCTTCTGGGGCGATATATTGTGATTACAGACAAACACACAGCCGCGTTTATTATTATGTATAGATAAGACAATGGCAATATTGTAACAGTTTTCTCGGAGAGGAAGCTATACAACTTATTCATAGTAGATAATGGGAAGGCGCGATAAACTCATTTGTTGCTAGCTCTGAAATAATTAAAACATAAAAAATTTCGAAGGGGATAAAGCGTCAGCATATTTAACGGGATTGCCCTCTCTCAATTGACGATATGAAGTTATAACTCATAACTGAAGATAAACTTTTTAACAGTTTTACTTATTTATCGTTGTTTTGCGGGCAATTTATTAGCTATTATTATTATTATTGTTATCATTATTATTTTACAGGTTAAAGGTCTTCTTGGAGTAAGTACTATCATTTTGTATTTTTTTTTATTTAGTGAAATCGAAAAAATACTGTTACAAATATTTTAATTGAGAATTCGTGTAACGCAACTTAAGGAAAAATGAAGTGACAATGAGAACATATATATGAGGAGATTAAGGAAAAGCGAATCGAGAGTTTGAACACCAGATACCAATCTTTCTTATAAATCAAAATGTTCTGTATAATCATCTTTTTTGTAGAATATGTTGGTATTCGTGATGGAATGGGATTATATTATTCCATAACGGATGGAAGACAATGAATGGGAGGAACATTTTTTTCATAAGAACAAAATAAATAAAGTTCGCAACTAAAGTATATCAGATGACAACTAAGCTATTCATGGACACCTTTGAATCAATTACTAGCTAATTTTTTGTAGGGACATCGGGGTTTCGAGAAATAAATTCTACGCAGAGTGTGAATATATTTCTCTGTGAACTGTTGTCACAGAGTGTCCACTCTGTGGAAACATTTCGCAGAGACAGGAACAAGCGTAAACAGACATAGACACGGCTGCGAAAGGGCAACAACGCTTGATCAAGACCCTTATTTGAGACTTCTTAGCAAACAGGATAGGTCCACGTCAGTGACACAACTGTCTCGGAACCTGTACATTGTAACAGGGACATCTATTTCAAGGATAACAGCCACCCATAGACTTAAAGCAGATACCCTGTGCCTTGCGCCCCGCTCTTTTGAGAGTGAACCTCAAAAAGGAGCGCCTAGCAGGATGCCAAAAACACTTGTGATGGATAAAGGATGATTGGGAACGGGTACTCTTCAGTATTGAGTCAAAATTCAGTATAGACAGTGACTTAAGATGTGTTCTCATTTGAAGAGAACACGATGGTTGATTTTTGCGTTCTGACAATATCAAAAAGGACCATTATGGTCAAGGTGGTATGATGGTCTGAGCAGGCAACATTGCAGATTGGCATACCGACCTTCACGAGTTAAATAGAGGTACTCTGACATATATCATACATATCAGCAATACAGGACCTTGCACACAATGTGGGACTCCTTCGAGAAGTTACATGGTAAAAATGCTTCTTCTTTATGAAAGATAACATCCGTCCACGCATGGCTCAGTCATCACCGCCTTCAGCAGAAAGCCTCCACTTGGTTTTTTATAAGCAGTCTGCGCAGACAATTTGAAAAGAGAACCTGGTATGTGCATGAACCTGAAAATTATTTTAGAAAGTGACTGCATACCTGCCAACTTTTAATCCCTTCCATTATCATTTTTCCCAGTGGTATTAAAATGGAATTAAATCTTCAATTTTAAGCAAACAAATACGTTGCATTTGAAAAAACTTAAGTTGACAACCATGATAGTACCGCATATTAATATATGTGCTTAATTTTTGAAAGAATAGTGGTGATCAAAATCATTTAAAAATTAAGTTTATAAGAGAAAAAATAGTATATATTTACTACCACTTTAAATATGAAAATAAAATCTTCCGGAAGAGTTGGCAGGTATGTGACTGAGAGAATTTTCTCATATATATTTGAGAATTAAATCCGTAGTGGTAGACAAGTAAATAAGACAAACCAATCCTAGTCATATATAATAAAAAAAAATTTAGACATATATTTGCTACCACTTTCTTATTTTTACTAGATTATCTATGAAAGGCCTCTTTCATAAACTGGTTTACCTTCGTAGTGGTCTGATCGGACTACCTATAAAAAATCACGTTAAGGCGTTAGCTCAGTTGGTTGATGAATACCTTCAATTGGATGAGATTCGACGATTGGAATGACCATCGATGTCCACTGACCAGAAAGAGATAGAACACGTATGGTGCGTCTATGTCTTTTTCTGACTGTCGAGGTGTCAGTCAGCTGTTGACCTGGAAAAGTGACCACTTTCCTTATTTAGGATACATGTTGTGCCAATTTTAGTTCCCTATTAGATGAGTCTGAGTCTTACATCGGATATTTTTATTTGAAATTTGGTTTAATTATATATATATATATATATATATATATATATAAGAAANAAAGTAGCACTTGTTCGAAAAAGGCATGTCCTGTGCTTCCTTGTCCTCTAACAAAGCACGTTTTTAAACGGGGCGTGTGTTGTCCTGAATGCTTTGGTAAGTGCTCTTTTTCTTTTTTAAATGTTGAGGAAATGCATGATGCTTTTCTCACATCAGTCGCTTACTTCGCTTTTCATTAAATGATAATCGGTCTTAAAGAAAGGATAACATATCAAATGACAGAAGTTGCAATATATGTTCATTAGGAGCCGGGATAGCCTGTTTGGTAGGGCACTGGCCCCATGTCCAAGAGGTAGTGGGTTCGACCCCCTCCGGCTGAAGACTCCCCGTGTAGTAAATGGTGATGCACGTTAATTCTGTCAGGTCACAAAGTCCTCCATGCTCCCATAACAAATCAATATCTCTGGTGGTACTGATACAGAAGCTCCTTTGTTTTCTGGATATGGTTCAAAATTACAAGGCTACGGAGTTGAACAGTGGAAAATCTAGAATTGGGTCGACTGTTCAATTATAAAATATATATATGTATATATATATATCAGTCCATTTATTTATATTTACTATAATTTTCTATTGTTTATTTTTTTAAATTCTAAATGCTGTTTGTTATACGGTTATTTATTGATTTTTTCTTTTACAGAAAGTTGTTTAGAGATCGAGCGTCTATTTTTCAAGTGTAGGGTAGTTGAAGCCACAACTTATAACGATGACGAAATTTTCTTTTAAAAATTTGTAGCTCGTACAGACAGAAAGTAGTCTTAGAAATGTCTGAATACGTAAATAAAACCAATTTAAAAAGAAAGTGTTGAGCAAATATCTTTTTTTCACTGTTTGATGTTCTCTTCTCCTAAGATCGTATGTTATTTTGAAAGTATCTATTTCTTTTGCACGATAATTCCTCTCGGACAGTGGTCAGCATACTGTGGCTCGCAAGCCAACCATTTAATTTTTATGATTTATAAGTTGTTTTTATTTTGATTAAGCGAAAGATAGCGATATGTCGAGTTTTCTGATAACTTATCCAGAAAAATAAAATTGTCCTAAAATGAAGATATTAATTATTTTAAAATCTCTAAACATTTTAGCAAAAAAGATCTGAGACTTTCTAGAAATTATAACTGTTACTATGAAAGAGAAATTTATTTTAGTTTAAACATACTTTAAAATGAATGTGTTACAATATTTCAAACATTTAGACGCTATATGACCCTCAATACCTTGAAAAGTTTACAATTTGAACTCCGATGTCAAATCTGAGTAGACATTGAAAATCATAACTCTAATACACGAAAATTTAATAATTCGTAGCCAAATTGTACGAATTTCTAAAATTTTCTAAAAGTATTGTGCAATGTTATTTAAATGGTTTAGTGTTTATATTAGGTTAAAAAAACATATTTGGGTACATGCAGTGCTGTTACTAGACTAGAGTAGACTAGACTAGATAGGCGGTGAAACGGAGTACCTGCCAGCGAATCGGGCATCTCACTCCTTCTTCTGATCAATTAGCCCTTGGGTGACTGTGTCTATAGGTACAAAGATGATAGATTAGAATCTTGCTAAGTAGTGATTGTCTTGTGGCGGTCTCTCTCCTACTATTCCTAGTTGGATCCAGGGAGAAAATATTGTAGACGTTTGACAAGTCCTCATTCTGTAGCAATTCCTGCATTTCTTTTAAAATATGCAGTAATCTGGTGGCTTGGTTCCTTCGTTGTTTCTTCCTAGGCGTTCCTTGCAACCAGTGTAGAATGCTGGGTCGATAGTGTATCTTTGGGTTTCGTACAAGTAAAGTCCTCCCGCACACTTCACTGAACCCACACTTCACTTCTGCTGAACAAGATCTTTACTTATGTCCAAGCTTTTGACAACGATAACATTGGATCTGCCATCTGCCTCCACTGAAGTGTTAGATTTTAAATGGAATATCCATGATCTGGGAGGAGTCGTTGATTTCTCGAAGAGAGTCGTTGTCTGATAGGAAAATCAGGAAAAGGACGAGGTGCCTAAGCTCCTGGTCGGATCTCTTCCATAGCTGTACGACTTTGCGGTGGGAAACCGCTATCCGTTAGAAATTTCTCCAAGGCAAATTTTAGGAAGTCTCTGTCTAATCCTCGAATGAGAATTTTTTTACTCTTACTAGTGGGTTGTAGGGTATAATCTCACGAGTCTTTTGTAGCAGTAGCCTCATATGGGTGCGGCCGCTTGCTCTATCAGTTCTAGTGTTGAAGCTTCCGTCGGCGGTGCCGGTAGAGAGCCTTTTTCTCTGGGCGGGTTGTTTCGCCGTCTGTCTCAGAGTTTTATTCTAGTTTCGCCATGTTGACACTGTTCTTTTTCCTCTTTTCTTCCTTTTCTGTTCTTTCTCATTCGATGTATGTTGTTGGATAGCAAGCTCAGGGGTGGTGATAGCGCCTGTTGTATCTGTGACTGGTGTAGTATCAACCGATGCTGCTGCCGGAACTTGTGCTGGCTCAGTTAGAATGCCTGGCATTGGTGTCTCTTCAGGCTTTTCTGTCTCAATTTCTGAATCAGCTGACGGTACAGTCAGTGAGTTCTTTAAGACTATCGGTGCATTTTCTATGTAGGTCATTCTATACTTGTTTATTACATTGCCTGGCTCAATATATCCATTTCACCTTGGAAGAATTTTGCATTTGGTTGGTACCTCCTAATCATTCCATCAAAGTCGGAAATCTTTAATGACTTCCTTCATCATTTTTTCCTTAAGTGCCGAGTGATCAATAGTCGATTCACGGCAGGTCCGGAAAACCTTCCCTCCGTGGCCAAACCTGAGAGTAATCATAATAGCTAGAGCTCGGGTAAAGAAACTTTCTCTACGGAGTTTGGAATAATGGTCTGGTGGTCGCAGTGCTGTCATGCGTTCGTTCGTTGTTGTAGAACTGGGCATCTGAGGCCTAAATGGCCCTTTCCCCATTCATCTTGAACTATCCCATGACGGGAACATACATTGGAAAGATGTGTTGTAGGCTCGGAATAGAACCTGAAATGAGATAAAAATGAAGAAAGGAATCATGTGAGGTGTAGCAGGCATGATGGTGGGGCTTCATATCTACATCTTTTGGATTGGGAGCAGGGAGATGAGTAGAGCGACTATTTTCTCGTCATTCAACAGTTCCTGGAGTTCTTTGAGAATGTTCAGGAATCTAGCTAGATTGCTGGGGACATCTTGAGGTTTCCTCGTGTAGGTGAGCTGGTGTCTTTTTGGTCTAGCACCACAACCCGTAAAGCAGGACGGGTGATCGCCTTGGCAGTTTATGCACCTGGCAGGAAGGGAGAGAGGCTTCGTAGCTTCGTACATTGCTAAGTGAAATGCGCTCCTGCGCATTTCATGCATGCTGGCTCATTTGAACACGATTTTTGAGTGTGTCCAAACTTCTGACATTTGTAGCATTGTATGACATTACGCCCTCCATGAAATTTCTCTATTTGGACAGGATGAGATCGAAGAAACTTTGAGTAAATAAAGTCCCGATGTTCTGGGGAATCTTACAGTATCACTAGAAAAAGGGGGAGGAGCTTGTATCCGTCACCACTCCTCTTTCTCAGTTGCTCAATTTTGATGGATTGTCGACCATTTTCGTCAATATCTCTTCAAAGATCATCGGTACGGTGGTCTATATTTAGTCCCCGCACGAGAAACTTAAGTTTTCTCGTGAGGAAAGTGGGTTTGGCCGGTGGAGATCAAGTTGTTGAAGGTTCCTGGGTATTGCTGGTGCTATGGCTTTTCTTCCTTCTCTTTTTCAATCTTTTGGGAGAAGAAACAGGGATATCAGGCTCCTTTTCTATGCACTTGTCCGCCGTGAGCTCGATTTGAGTATTTTCCAGTTGTGGCTCACAGGAAGGAACTGTTACTGCAGACTCCGTAGACGTTACTGTTTGTACTAGCTTTACAGTTTCTATGGACATGGTTGTTTCCACGGGTTCCACTGGACAAAGTTCTTTCCTTTTCTTCCTTAACCCTTTCGCGTCGACTGTCACAAATACGTGACAGCAAAAAACCGTATCAATCAGGGTAAGAAGATAAAACTGGTAATCAAAGTATTTCTTTAGCAGTTTATTTGTAGGCGGAGTTATAATTTTTTGATTTATTTAATTCACCATTACTTTGTTCAAAATAAAACTATTTAGTTATACTTTGAATTAACATTGATTATATATATGATTAAACTAACAATAATTAAAATAAAAGCAAAGTAAGTCTGTCAAATTAGTAACGACTACATTTAAGTTACCGTTTTTTATTTAATTGCAACTTGATTCTGATTTTGTACGAATGCTTTTCTGAATCACCCGTCCCCAAGGGGTTAAGGCGATAAGTTTATATTCATCCATATATGGTGGTTTGCAATTTTCTTGCTGCCATTTGAGTTTCTTTTCTGATTGTTCGATCATAATATCAATTATATCATTTTCAGAAAATGGATAACAGAAATTGTCGAAAAACTAAAGGCGTTCCTTTTCAGTCTTAAGTAGGCTGAATTTATCGTTGAGGTCTACAGATCGCTGCACGGGCCTTTCAGTCCGCCACTTCCCTCCACGTGCACATCGCTGGAAAGACATATTCGCAGAGCTCGGTCACAACGTCTCGAATGACTGTGAGCTCGGTGACAGTGTTGTCAAACAACTACAAATTGCCTTTATTATTTCATTTTTTTTTAATTTAAAGTGGTAGTGAATCTTATAAATTCAGAGATGCCAACTTGCTCCGCTTTATAAAAAAAAGTATTTTCTGGTGGTATCGACATTGAAGTTATTTTTGGTTTAGTATTTTCATTTTAAATAATTTTTACACCACTACATATCAAAAATTCTATGTATAATATCAAATGCAACTTTGTTATACTATACTCGTGGTTACTCTTTTAAAAAGTAGGCGTATTTATCCTTATTCTACCAGTTTTACTATTTAATTAGATACCAATTTATTAAAACTTCTGCAGAAAGCGGAGCAGTTGGCATCTCTGTAAATTTCTTATAGACATTTCGGATTTATAAAATTAATTAAATATTATTTTGACTACCACTAAAGCCAAATAAATCAATCTTATAAGTATGAGCAAGTTAAAGCAACTAAAAGGAATGCGAGCAGTAGCAACTATAAAAAATGTATCTTCAGATGCATATCGATTAGTCTTTTGACCCTGCCAGCACTTGGGAAATGCGGAAACAGTAAATGTTGGAAGATGAAGGAGATGATGTTGGGGAAAGAATGTCTGAAGTATTCGGAGTGCGAAAGATTAAAGGTCTAATCCATCATCACCAACATTAGAAAGCCTCCACACGGTATGTTATAAGTAGTCTGCGCAGACTATATGAAAAGTGAAAGAGTTGTGAATGAAAGTGAAGAGTTGCGCATGAACCCAAATTCTATTTTAAAAGTAGACTTAGACAGAGAGGAGATTCGAATTTTTAAAAGTAATTTTTTAAATTTTTAAAAGTAATTGAGAGAAATTTATCATATATATTTGAGAATTGAATTTAGAATGGTTGACAAGTGAATAAGACAAACCAATCATATTCATAAATTTAAAACAAATTCTAGACACATATTTGCTACCATCACTTTCTTATTCNCGATTTTTCACTTACGGTCTCTTTTCTTTATGGTGCTTCTGTGTACGTCACCGCTTCAGGAAAGCATTTCCGACCCCACATTGCTATATGATTTCGAGTCGTCAGGATGCCCCCTACCCCTCTTAGAAGTTCTGAAACGCTTAACTGAGACACCCTGTATATATATATCATATGTCTGTCCATTTATTTATATTTACTATAATTTTCTAT